AAATCCTGCAAGTGCCAAAACCAAAATTCCGGCTGGGCAGTAATGTGTCATGAGCCCTGCCGAATTGAATGAAATAGTACAGTATGGCTTTACAGTGGCTCATGCCCTCAGGCTGTGCTTTGACCTGCCGCAGTAAAGAGTGATCTGCCAGAATGCATTGAGGTTCAAAACCTTGCACACTCAGTGTGCTACAACATACACTGCTGGCAAAAATTATTGCAAGTTTATACTATGTCAATTTGTTTCCACAGCACTTCACGGTTGGTCATCCAAAAATTATATGTTATTTGTGACCTACTAGGCTATAAGTACATTGAGTCTTGGCAAATTTTTCTTGTCAAAGTTAGCCACTGGAGCCCACAATACAGAAATTGCCATTTTTGTTATCACAGGTCAGCAAACAGTTTTGACAACACAAAACACACTTGTGAGGCAGCAAAGAAATAACTTGTATACCATCCCTTTGCTGCTTCCAGGCAATGCATGCAGGCATACCTGCATAAAGCTGTGCTAAGAATCCATCATCCATCTTGGCCCATTCCTCACAGATCATGTTCCAAAGGGATGCTTTGCTTGTAGGTAGAGCTCCTCTGAATATGCCTGACATTTGAATGGAAAATGGATAACTGTCTCCATGATCATCAGCTGCTCTACACCCCAACACAACTCACATCTTCTGGTGTTTGACTTCTCAATGTGGAAAAGATAGTTGTTGAGTGATACATATTCTGTTCATAGTTGCATTAGCAGACTTGTTTGTGACCTCAAGAGTATGTTGTTGATCTTTGGGAACTTGCTGGATAAGTCTGTGTTGGCATGTTGAAATCTTGCATAGTGTAGTGAAACCTTTCACATTTAACCATTGAGCCTTCTGCACTCCTGTGAAAACTTATTGACTGCTGTACTACTAATTGGTAGGTGCTTCCAGAGCATGAGTGGTAACTCCTCTGGTAGGCTTGATTTCAATCTGCACAGTGGTTGCTGGCCATAGATTGGCGCTACAGGCATCACTTTCAAAGGTGTAGTGTTACATAGCTATTTAAACAGTTAAGCTTTGGAATTTTTTTCTAAAGTGTGGAGGTCTTGAACCTGTCCTGTTTCTATTGAGTGTGATGATATTTAAAGTGTGGTTAATTGCATTCAACCACACTGATACAGTAGAAAATAACTGTTACACTGAATACATTTATACAAAGTTCTCTATACTGGACACATGGCAAGATAATTTGCATTGGAATACTCTAAAAATGTAATACATCTTCAAAGATTGGTTTCAATGAATGAAGGTCAAATATTAATAAGACATGTTGAAAACATGTTGAATGCATTGAGATAAGCATTTAGACAATTCAAATTGACCCTATATCTTTCAAGTAAGTTTCTATATGTTTTAACATGTTTCATAAGTATTTGATCTTCATTCATTGAAAACAATCTTTGTAGATGTATTACATATGTCTTACCAGAAAACAGAAAAAGATGAGGAACTTTCAAAAGAGTATATCAACACAAATTATCTTGTCATATGTCCAGTGCTAGCAATTTTGAGTCTTTGTTGTTGAGATGTCTATTGTTTTGTTTATGACCTCAAGCTGGACTAATTAAGTGGGAGTAGGTCCAACAGTCTATTGTCAGAGCCCTTTTCAAAACAGACAAAAAAGATTTTTCATACACTCTGGATGCAGGCCACATTAACTTGGACCAACTACTGTAATGAAATTGTCCATACATTTCAAATAGTTTTATGTTAACAATTTCTTTACAGTAAGTTAGTCAAAGGTAATATAGCTTGCATCTAGTAATCAACAGCATATCAAGACATGAGCACAAGATAGAATATCAGTGAAACAGAAACAAATCACTATAGAAGGTGAATTAAGTACTAGTTCCTGTAAAGTCATCATCAAAATCTTTCTCTTTATGAAACAAGTGTGACATTTTGGATCTAAATTTTGAAACTCTCTTTGCAAGTTTGGAAAGAGAATGGACTGAGGATAAAGACATCAAAGGGGGTTCAAACAACAATTACCAAAAAACATACCTTGTTTCTCAGGATTATCCAGAAGCACTGCTTGAACTGGATGATTCAAAACAACCTGCATTGAATGCAAGTTTTGTTCACCATGACTTATGGTGCCTGCCTCAACAACTGGAACCCCCTGTGCTTCTTGGACATTGGCTGTGGTAGGAATTGTATGAGATTCTGCTGCAGGAACTCTGTTCTTTAATTTATGAACTTGGGTCTCCAGCTTCTCTGCCTCTGTGTATTTTCCCAAGTATAGATATGTTGCTGCTAGATTTGCAATGGCATTGATTGTATCTGGGTGTTCCACTCCAAGAATTCTGTTCCTTGCATCCAGAACTTGCATCTCCAGCTTCTCTGCCTCTGTGTATTTTCCCAGGTATCGATATGTTGCTGCAAGATGTCCCATGGCATAGATTGTATCTGGGTGTTCCACTCCAAGAATTCTGTTGCTTGCATCCAGAACTTGCATCTGCAGCTTCTCTGCCTCTGTGTATTTTCCCAAGTATAGATATGTTGCTGCTAGATGTGCCATGGCATTGATTGTATCTGGGTGTTCCACTCCAAGAATTCTGTTCCTTGCATCCAGAACTTGCATCTCCAGCTTCTCTGCCTCTGTGTATTTTCCCAAGTATAATATGTTGCTGCTAGATGTGCCATGGCATTGATTGTATCTGGGTGTTCCACTCCAAGAATTCTGTTCCTTGCATCCAGAACTTGCATCTCCAGCTTCTCTGCTTCTGTGTATTTTCCCAAGTATAGATATGTTGCTGCAAGATGTGCCATGGCATAGATTGTATGTGGGTGTTCCACTCCAAGAATTCTGTTCCTTGCATCCAGAACTTGCATCTCCAGCTTCTCTGCCTCTGTGTATTTTCCCAGGTATAGATATGTTGCTGCTAGATGTGCCATGGCATAGATTGTATCTGGGTGTTCCACTCCAAGAATTCTGTTGCTTGCATCCAGAACTTGCATCTCCAGCTTCTCTGCCTCTGTGTATTTTCCCAAGTATAGATATGTTGCTGCTAGATGTGCCATGGCATTGATTGTATCTGGGTGTTCCACTCCAAGAATTCTGTTCCTTGCATCCAGAACTTGCATCTCCAGCTTCTCTGCCTCTGTGTATTTTCCCAAGTATTGATATGTTGCTGCTAGATGTGCCATGGCATTGATTGTATATGGGTGTTCCACTCCAAGAATTCTGTTCCTTGCATCCAGAACTTGCATCTCCAGCTTCTCTGCTTCTGTGTATCTTCCCAAGTATCGATATGTTGCTGCAAGATGTGCCATGGCATAGATTGTATGGGGGTGTTCAACTCCAAGAATTTCATTCCTTGTATCCAGAACTTTGATTTGCAAGATTTCTGCTTCCTTTGTGTATCCTTGCTTTTGGAAGAGATCTCCAAATTTGGCATAAGCATCATCCAAGTAACTGATACCCTTCTGATTGCTTCCTGATCTGGAATACTCCATATTTGCTCTTACATGTGTTACCAAGACCCTGTGAAATCTATATGGTTGGCTTTTATCCCATCTTAGTGAACAAGATAAAGTAACATATGCCATCAAGCAACATCTTTCTCTCTTATTCAAAGTCATTCTGTCTCTTCCCCAGGCATGGACAAGTGGATGCATTGCATACACACCATCAGATGGTGCTTTCTTAATCAAGGAGAAGGACAGCAATACCCGAATGCCTTCTCTAAAAAGTACATCATCCCAAGTACCTGCCTTGTTCAGAGGCAGCAGTCTCTGATCCAGTATAGAACTGGCAAGTGGCAATTCGGAGTTAGAGGTTTCTTCATCTTTTTGAAGAGCAGCATAAGAAAATATTTCCTCGGTGATTCCCTCATGATGGAAGAAAGGAAATAGTTCCAGAAGGAGCATTGCACTGTTGGCTGCATCGGTTTTATGAGAACTGTCAGATTTAGCTCTTTGTTGAATTTCTTTGTATGATAGCTCCCAAGTTTCATACACAGTTCTATTATACTTAGAAGCTCCAGTAAAATCAGGATGGGATAATAATGTTTTTTGATGCTCAAAATATTTTGCAAGATAGTTTCCAATAGTGGTGGCTCCAGAAGCAATGTAAGCACCAGCCTGATCAATAGCAAGAGGAAGGTATGAGAGCTCCTTCACAATCTTACAAGCTTCAGTTTGAAACTCCATTGAACATGGATCCAAGTAACTGGCTTTTAGAAGTAACTCAATAGAATCATTCTCTTCCATCTCAGTTACTTCAAGAGAATTCTCAGGTGAGGTTAGATTCCTCATCATGGAGTTGCGACTAGTTATCAAAATGTTTCCCCCCCTTCCAGGTGGAAGATAAGCCTCCAGCTCAGCAGGTGATAGAACATCAGCATTGTCAAAGACCATCACATAGTTCTCTCTCAGCAAGCCAATCCAGTGAAGAGCAGATTCAGGTGAGCCATCCAGTCCACTAGACTGGGCTGCAGGAAGATTACAGATACCTTTGAGTCCCTGTGTGATGGTGCCAACTGAGGAAGCATCAATCCAGAAAACAGAGGAGAAACTGAAGGCAATTGAAATTTCAGAAATAAGAGTTGGATCTGCCATGATACTCACAAGCCAGACATTTCCTCAATGAACTTCAAGCAAATCTGAGTCTTTCCAATACCCCCCATTCCATACAACAGAAAGAACTTTCGTCTCTGAGCTGAGTCATTTGTGTTGGAAAAATGCCTCTTGAGTTTGGTGATGACTTGTGTGCGGCCGGTGAACCGATTGCTTGGATTTGGCATGAGGGGGATGACCCCATCGGACATCGTCCTACCGCCATAATCGATGTGCACCTGCCCGAGATTCACACTGTCAGTTTGCTTCGACAGAACTTTCAGACCAGAAGCATTCTACTCACGGAGTTAGCAGTAATATCAATGAACGTGTTGTCCCGAGCAACAAACTGGCTAGCGCCCGCAAAGCTCATGTTCAAATGTCGAAGGTGGAGAGGTTCAGGATGAGGGAAGGAAGGAAAGGAGAGCGCCCGAATGCTAGGAGACCCCCAATCACGCCACGAGTGAACGTGTGTTTTGGTCTATTTTTATTTACCTTACGCACGTGCAGCCGGGGCTTTCCTTGCAGTGTGGCCCTATTTTTGAGGTAAGTGAGTTCGCCTTCGTTTGAATACCTGTGTTCATACCTGTAAACCTTTTTCAAGGTCAGAGGTGCTGCGCGGTAGCTCAGCGGGTCGTGTTCAAGTGCCGATATATCTGCTCCGTCGAGTCCTCGTCTTGGCCGTTAAGTTGGTTAGAACGTCAAGTGAGTTCACATCCTTTCCTATTCTAATAGTGATCGACTGTTTTACACAGTTGGCTCTATAAAAATCCTAGTGTATTCCCCGGACACCCACGTTTTCCTGCCTCCTCGCCAAACCGACCGTCACAACCCTTCTCCGTGATTCTTTGCGTCCCAACCGTTTTCAGCAGCGGCGTGTTGCCTCCTACCTCCCCATCGCAACTTCCCCTCTACCTATTCTCGCTGCAGAACTCCACTACGTTGTTGTCCCTTTACTCCTGGATGGTTGATCATTAGGAAGGCCATCTAGGTGCCACATGTGCATAGCCCTCCTCGTTTCAGCGCGTTGTAAAAGCGACGGACCGGGGCTCTTAAAAGCGAGGTTCTCGTTGTTGTCCAATGTCCACGAGCGGACATCGTGGACAAACGAGTCTTTCTCAGTGTGGAGGAAGGAGGGTGACTATTGAGCGTTGAGCGCTGAAGGTTCACACTACCCCAATCGCTCACCCGATTTCTCTTCGATCTTGTCTCTCAACGGTGACTCGCCCCCCACCTTCCTTGTGGTGTGGAAGATTCGGTTTCTTTGTTCGCATCGGCGCCCGGAAAAGAAGGAGCTTGGAGTGTACCGAGCGGTGCAGAGGATTACGTTGAATCCATACATGCTGGACTGGCTCAGAGGTCTTGCGGAGGAAGGGCGAATCGACGCCGTTGAAAGGTGAAAGGAGGAGAGAGGCAACGGCTGGTCGAGTTCGATACGATACGACACGGCGTCCTGAATGGATGGGGGCGCCTCTATGGGTTTCGGGAACGCGATTGAGGGGGAGAGGAGTGTGCAGAGGTGGTATGGTGGGGTAGTGATGTCGCAGTTAGAACGATAGAAGACTACCATGGAGGAACCTCAAGTGCGCGAGGCCGGAGTCAGTGGAGGGGTATAGGTGAGATATTGAAGACAATGTGATGGACATCCAACAACGCCACCATCCCCTCTCAAATCCTAAAACGCCCCACCTCCTCACCCACCCAAGGAACCTCGTCGCCCCAGTGGGTAATCACAATTGCTGCCTGTCCCTCTAAGACCACCGCCCTCAGTCAAAGGGCCGTGAATCGACGTGCTGCGAATTCTTTTTCCGTCTCCGGAGTTCCTGGCGTGGACCAGGCTCGTGGGCCAAAGGACAAGAGGACCTCCTAGCACCGAGCAATTTTCCACTTTTCTGCTTCCCTCCTCCTCCTCTTCTCCTTCCCCCTCTCCGCCTCAGTCGGTTCGTTCACAAGTTCAACCTCGAATCCGAGCTCATACTCTTCCACACGAATCTGACCCACCCTCTCACTCCCTCGAAATGGAACAAAACCCCGAAAAGAGGGCTACACGGACTCGGAGGGAGAACGAAGTTGACGAAGAAATTGGCCTGAAGGCCGCAGAGGGAGCTCCAGCCAAGTCGTAGGCCGAGAGTGAGGGACGGATTCAACACATGCTTACTTTGGCAATGCAGAGTTGAACGAAGGAAATCCTTCATTACTACGCGAAGACCTCCTTCGCACAAGGTGTAGGCTTGTAGAGGCGCGAAATGGCCAGACAGAGCTGACTGACAAATGTGAGGTCGACGGATCTGTAGGAGCTCCAATTGCAATCGCACCTGGACGAGCTGCGGGGCTGGAACGTCATTACAAACGAATCGTCGCTTTACTCAGTATGGAGATATTCCAAGCGACTGCTTGTTTACCCGACAAGAACTCTGGTGATAGGTCTGCCAAGGTCGAGGGACACAACTTGGAAACAGAGGAAAGATGAAGGCGTATCTTAGTCTAGAGATGAAATGGTAACGGACCGTGAATCTATTCAGTATGTACATATGCTGAGTCCAATGTCAACGAGAAATATTTGCTTGTACTACGAGACGGAATTGGGGAAGTTGGGTGGTGTGTACGTAGTTACGCGTGGAACATCTGGAAGAAGGAAGAAAACAGTTAGCCACGTAACGGTAGAGGCAGTTTTATATAGTAGCTAGAAGTCAGGGCGAGGCCCAGATCGACAGGCATTGACTCTAACCTTTGCTCGACTTGAGACATCGCCAAGGACGGAGTGGGTCGTCGACGAGAAGGTTATCGAATAGTTCTGAGAGAGAATGGACAAACAACCACACGCTGGGCGCAACCTATCAGACGATCTATGTATATGAGGTTTGCCTACGGCCACTGATAAAACCACAAGCTTGGTACTAGTGCCCGAGTTGCGCAAGTCATAGTGCGATCACTAGCTGGGGATTGCACTGGTGTTGTGGAACTAGAACCCAAGTAACGGAGGAGGTTGGTCAGCCAGGCAAAGGACCAGATAGATGCAAGGTGACGAGGAATTCAAAAGCCGGGGAAGGGAGAACGTAAAGCAAGGCTGACAACTTACCGAAGGAGTTATCCCCACTCTCCAGCTCTGCGACTCAAGCTTGCGCGTATGATCAGGCGGACGGCAGTGTCCGAATTGCTCTATGTGAGGGATTTTGCCGTGGTTCCTGGCGAAGAAGTGATGCTGGATCCACGAGCTCTGAACAGAGGCGGATTAGCTAGGTGGATCCCACCATGACAATATCCCCTTCGTGGGCCGACGCACGAAGGGATGCAAGTGGCCGAGTGGTGCGGTGGACGCGAAAGACGATGCGACCATGGAAGTGGAGAGTTGGAGCCTGCCAGCGTTGTGGAATGAGAACCTGAGTAACAGACGAAGGCGGTCAGCCGAGCGCAAAAGGTCAAATGGATGCAAGGTGATAAAGGGATTTAGAAGCCAAAGCAGGGTGAAAAGCACAAAGGAGGAGAGTAACTAACTCACTGAAGCTAAAAAAACATCCGTTCCTCCCTCCTTCTCCTCAGCTCTCCAGCTCGAGCTGGCGTCACTTCCTTTGAATGAGGTGATCAAGCGGGCGACCATGGTCTACTGCGGCTTGTCGAGAGCATATTGGCGTCGTCGAGCTGGGCATAATCAAAAACGCCAGCCAGGTCACTGCAATGGAAAGGACGTTTAGAGCTGGTACTGTCGACTACGGCTGGAGCCTGGAGGAAACTAACTGCCAAGAGGTCTCTTGCAGAGGGAAAGCAGTGCAAAAAGGTTGGGCGGCGAAAGGTTTTGATTGCAAGGCTGTTGGCAAGGTGAGCATGCGGTGAACGTTGCAATTTCAAAAGTCTAATTGTCGTACCACTATAAACCCATCCCGGGCTGACTGGCCAACGCCGATGATTGGATAGACTTCGGATACCGCGCATGCGCTTTTGCGCAGTGATGGCTGGGGTGGACGTTGGGGTCTATCTCGATCGCCACATTTGCGAAGCTCCTGGTCACCATGCGTATACGCAGCTCAAGCCTATTCGACGTATTCCCTTCCCGAAGACCCAGCGTTTGCTTCTGAGTTCAGCTCAACAACCTTCTCGAAAGAACGTCAAACCCTCGAAAAACGGCGACTTTTCGTGTTGTATAGAGGGATCGAGCGGGCGCAACAGAGGACGATCAACGAGGAGTCGATGCCCGTTACGAAGGACGGTTGGTTTCAACCGTGTGTGGAACCTGGGAGGTTGAATGGTCTATCAAGGAGGGGTTTGAGAGCGCATGGGGTGACACTTTCCCAAGTCTGGGGAAGGACCTGGTCACCCGGTTGGAGACGGAAGGACATGTAGTGATAGAGGAAAATGCGCATGTTGGCAGTGTATCTAGAGGGGAAGATGGAAGTTTGGGAGTGACGTCAGCAAACTTGATCTCAATCACCGCGAGTTCGTCGCGTTCAATTTGCGTTCAATGCAAATACTAGTACTTGTGCGCTCGTCTGCCGCTGCTATCTCAGCGTAGCTTTGACTTGAGGCTATTCTCCCTGGAATGAAGGTATGCCTAGCTGTACATCTCACAAATCCACCTCACCTCTCATGGTGCTCTTTCTACTCAGCGTTACCCCAACGGCCTCGATGTTTATGGGCTCAAAAAAATTGTTACTACGTACCGACGCACATACAAGGGATAGAGGGTTCTCGGCCGCCAGGCATTAGACCCTAGTGCATGTCGATTGGCCTTCGACGTACGGTAACCGCAGAAACGATGACAATCCACAAGCAATCCATGCTCGACGTGGCCGATAATCAGAGGTCAGGTGAAGTTCAAAAAACGTCGGGCAGAAGAGGTATACGACGAGCGAGGTGGTGAGTACGATAACTGCTTTAGTCGTGCGATATTCTTGACAAGGCTGCAGCAGTTTCCTAGGGTGGCAAAAGTTTGGACGACGACGGGCTGCGTGCAGTAGTACCCAGATCTCCTCATGTTCTACTCAAAGCCCGGCCGCATACACTCCAATTTTTTTTGGTTTCTAGCCAACCTGGCGGCCAACAAGGTCCCAATTATGCGAGTTGGTGTTATGCCACGATCCCTGGCCGGTGCGCATACCTCTACACCCCCCAAATGTGTTTACGCTCCCGCGTAACAGACTCGTAAAACGTCGAGTGGGTTTAGACGGAGCGGGGATTTGAGGGGTAAGTGTCGTTTTCTTACCCTAATGCCCGTAATTCTGATATCATGTAGAGGTTTTCACGAAAACTATGAGCTCAAAGGGTGAATCAAAAAGAATCATACGCATACAAAGACTCTATTCCGCTTCTGAGGCGTGCTCATTAGGCCCGTTGATGCAGTTGGTAGTCAGATGCCTGACCCTTGTCTGTCCGTTCCGACGATTCAGATGCCTGAGACTTGCCCCGAGCAAGCAAATTGGATACGCCCCTCCTGACGGCCTCGAGCAACGGCGTGACATATCGCGGACTTCCTTGCTGATGCGACTGACCATATCGTACTCACCACCTCGCTCGTCGTATACCTCTTCTGCCCGACGTTTTTTGAACTTCACCTGACCTCTGATTATCGCCAGCCACGTCGAGCATGGATTGCCATCGTTTAAGGCGGTTTTTGTACGTCGAGGGCCAATCAACAGGATGACACACATGCACAGGGTCTAATGCCTGGCGCCCGAGAACCCTCCATTCCGTGAACGTGCGTCAGTATGTAGTAACAGAGTTTTGAGCTCGTAAACATCGAGGCCGTTGGGGTAACGCTGAGTAGAAAGAGCACCACGAGAGGTGAGGTGGATTAGGGTGAACGTTAAGATGTGAGAATTACATTACAGCTTGGCATACCTTTATTCCAGAAAGAATAGCATCAAGTTGAAGCTACGCTGAGACAGCAGCGGCAGACGAACGGACATGTAGCATTGAACTTGCGGTGGTTGGAATCAAGCTTGGATGACATCCTCCTTCAAAATACCAACGTACCCCAAACACTAGTACCAGGGAAAATAGTTATTCGTACACATCTCTACTCCAATTCAGCATATCATCTAGATACACTGCCAATATGGGTCTTTTTTGGTTTATTCTCCTCAATCGCTACATGGCTTCCCCCATCCAACCGAGTCACCACGTTTCTTCTTCAGACCATGCAAGAAACGCCACTCCCAGCAGACACCCTCTCCAGACTAGGGAAGGTGCCACCCCATACACTCTCAAACCGCTCCTCGATAGGCGACATTTCTTAGATGCATGACCCTCAGCCGTTCGACTTCCTAGGTTCGACCAACTGCCCCTTCACACGGGGTTCGACTGACCGTCCTTCGTAAGGGGCATCGACTCCCCATTGATCGTCCTCCGTTGCGCCAGCTCCTTCTTCCGAGAAGGCTGTCGAGCCGAACCCAGAAAACGTTGGGTCTTCAATTCTACTGCTCGGAGGGGAAGGGTATGTCGAACGGGCTTGAGCTGCGTATATGTAAGGTGGCGTCAGGAACTTTGCAAGCATCGCGATCGACGTAGACCTGGCCCTCTACAACGTCCACCCTCCCAAGGCATCAGTGCATTACTGCTCAAGAACCATCGCGGCTGTGCAGACGCGGTATCCGGAGTCTACCCAATTATCAATATTGGCCAGTCAGGTTGAAAGGGGAAGGAAGGTGAGGCGTTCAGTATCACTACAGAGGCGGGCGGTGTGCACGAGTGCGTGGCGGATGGGTAAAGCTTGTAGTTGGGTTGATTGGAGGGGTTGATTGGAGGGGATGAAGTAGGTTGGATCTGGGGAATTACAGCATAGCCAAAACAATCGAGATCATTGCTAGCCCACGGCTTGAATTCGGTTGCAGTGTGTTTGTGCTCTTGGATGTACTACGTCGGCTGAATTTGACGGAAACGAAAGGAGTTGAGGCGGCGGAAAGAGGTGGAACACCGGATCCCCTAAGCTTGCGGAAATGCTGAGCGAAGAATGCCACTAGTGCTGTGTCCTAATGCAAAAGATATCAGTAAAGTAAATAGCAAGATATGGCAGCCACAGCTCGACGTACTTTCAATCGAGAAAGCATTCTCCTACTTGTGTAAAACACCCCGATCGGAGCAGCAGAAAACGAGACCATGAGCAATGCAAAGAGGCGATAAGGTCGACGTGGTGTGTCATCTTCATATTTCCACCTCATAAGACACTGCGGACTTCTCCGCTCTCTCGCTCATTCCAAGCTCGTTCCGTCTATTCATCCATCCACTTATACGGTGGCCTTCTATCGTTCCGCCTCCGACAGCACTACCTCACCACACCAACCAACATCCTCTCCCCCTCAACCGCGTTCCCGAAACCTATCGACAGGCGCTATTCATAACGCTGTGTCGTATCGTATCGGACTCGACCAGCCTTTGCCTTTCAATGGCGCCGATTCGCCCTTCCCCCGCACGATCTCTGAAGCGGTGTTGACAATGGGGAGTCAGTTCAGCGAGTACGAACTCGACGTGATCCTCTCCGCCCCTCAGGGAACATGACCTCCTTTCTTTCTAGGCGCCGATGCGAGGGAAGAAATGGAATATTCCCCACCACAAGGAAGGTGGGGGCGAGTTCACCGTGACCCTGGGTTCCGTGGGAGGCAACATCAAAGAGAAACTGGGTGAGCGACGATTGGGGTACCGTGAACGTCCAGCGCTCAACCCTTGCAGCTCAGCAGTCACCCTTCTTCCTCGCACTGAGGAAGACTCGTCTGAACCTTGTCCACGATATCCGCTCGTGGACATTGAACAATGACGAGATCCCCGTCCTTTCAAGATCCCTGCTCCGTCGCTTTTACAATGCACTGAATTGAGGAGGCTATGCCATATGTGGCATCGGAATGGCCTTCTCAATGGTCGACATATTCCAGGAAGACGGCTAAAGGATCAACAAGGTAGTGGGAGTTCTGCAGCAGAGAATAGGTAGTAGAGGGGGAAGGCCGAGAATAGGTAGTGGGGGCGAAGTTGAGGTTGGGAGGTAGGAGGCGTGTTGCCGCTGCTGAGAGTGGTTGGGCACAAAGCATTGCAGAGGAGGGTTACTTTCTGATTGAGGGTCCGTTTAGAGAAAACGTGGGTGTGCGGGGGAATACACTGGGATTTCCATAGAGCCACTGCGACAACAGTCGATCGCTACCACCGGTTTAAAATCGGAATCTAACTAACTTCGCGGCCAAGACGAGGACTCGACGAAGCAGATCAAAGCAGATATTTCGGCACTTGAACACGACCCGCTGAGCTACCGCGCAGCACCTCTGTCCTGGAAAAGGGATTACAGGTATGAACACAGGTGTTTCATCAAACGAAAGCGAACTCGCTTACCTCGAAAGAGGGTCACACTGGAAGGGCATAAACGAAGAAGAAAAGCTCAGGCACGTGCGTAAGGTACATAAAAATAGACCAAAGCACTCGTTCACCTCGTGGCATGATTGGGGGGTCTCTAGTGTCTTGGGCGCTCCTCTTTCCTTCCTTCCCTCATCCTGAACCTCTCCACTTTCAACATCTCAACATGAGCTTTGCAGGCGCTCACCAGTTTGTTGCTAGCGGCAACACATTCAATGAAGCTAAGACTATGAGTGCAATGTTTATCCATCATGCAAGCTGATGGCATTGAATGTCTTGCAGATCAACATCAATTATGGCGGTAGGACGATGTCTGATGGGGTCATTCCCCTTATGCCAAATCCGAGCAATCGGTTCACAGGTCGCACACAAGTCATCACTGAACTCAAGAGGCATTTTTTTCACACAAATGACTCAGCTCAGAGGCGAAAGTTCTTCCTATTGTATGGAATGGGGGGTATTGGAAAGACTCAGATCTGTTTGAAGTTTGTTGAGGAAATGTCTGGCCAGTGAGTATTGCCAAAAAGGAAGATCTCCCTTATTTCTCAAATTTCAATTGCCTTCAGTTTCTCTTCTGTTTTTTGGCTTGATGCTTCCTCAGTTGGCACCATCACACAGGCACTCAAGGGTATTTGTAATCTTCCTGCAGCCCAGTCTAGTGGACTGGATGGCTCAGCTGAATCTGCTCTTCACTGGATTGGCATGCTGAAAGAGAACTATGTGATGGTTTTTGACAATGCTGATGTTCTGTCACCTGCTGAGCTGGAGGCTTATCTTCCACCTGGAAGGGGGGGAAACATTCTAATAACTAGTCGCAACTCCACCATGAGAAATCTAACTTCACCTGAGAATTCTCTTGAAGTAACTGAGATGGAAGAGAATGATGCTATTGAATTACTTCTAAAAGGCAGTTTCTTGGATACAGATTCAATGGAGTTTCAAACTGAAGCTTCTAAGATTGTGAAGGAGCTCTTCTACCTTCCTCTTGCTATTGATCAGGCTGGTGCTTACATTTCTTCTGGAGCCACTACTATTGGAAACTATCTTGCAAAATATCATGAGCATCGAAAAACATTATTATCTCATCCTGAATTTACTGGAGCTTCTAAGTGTAACAGAACTGTCTATGAAACTTGGGAGTTATCATACAAAGAAATTCAACAAAGGGCTAAGTGTGATGATTCTCATAAGACCAGTGCAGCCAAAAGTGCAATGCTCCTTCTGGAATTATTTCCTTTCTTCCATCATGAGGGAATCACTGAGGAAATCTTTTCTTATGCTGCTCTTCAAGAATATGTAGAACCCTCTCACTCTAAATTGCCACTTGCTAGTTATATGCTGGATAGGAGACTACTGCCTCTGAACAAGGCAGGTACTTGGGATAATTTACTCTTTGGAGAAGGCATTCGGATGTTGTTGTTCTTCTCCTTGATAAGAAAAGCACCACCTAATGGTGTGTACACAATGCATCCACTTGTCCATGCTTGGGGAAGAGACAAAATGACTTTGGATGAGAGGGAAAGACATTGCTTAATGGCATATGCTACTTTAGCTTGTTCACTAAGATGGGATGAAAGCCAACCATATAGATTTCACAGAGTCTTGGTAACACATGTAAGAGCAAATATGGAGTATTCCAGATCAGGAAGCAATCAGAGGGCTATCACTTACTTAGATGATGCTTATGACAAATGTGGAGATCTCTTGCAAAAGCAAGGGTATACAAAGGAAGCAGAAATCTTGCAGATTAAGGTTCTGGATAGAATGAATGAAATTCTTGAGGTAGAACACCCAGATATAATCAGAGCTATGGCAAACATTGCATCAACAAATCGAGACCTGGGAAAATACATGGAAGCAGAGAAGCTGGAAATGCAAGTTCTGGATGCAAGAAACAGAATTCTTGGAGCGGAACACCTAGACACAATCAAAGCAATGGCCCATCTAGCAGAAACATATTCTTGTCTGGGAAAGTACACAGAGGCAGAGAAAATGGAGATGCAAGTTCTGGATGCAAGGAACAGAATTCTTGGAGTGGAACATCCAGATACCATCAGAGCTATTGCTGATCTAGCAGGAACATATGAGAAGTTGGGAAAATACACAGAGGCAGAGAATATGGCAATGCAAGTTCTGGATGCAAGAAACAGAATTCTTGGAGTGGAACACCCAGAAACAATCGAAGCAAAGGCACATCTAGCAGCAGCATATAGAAACTTGGG